ATTTTTTATTTTTATAATCATGATGATTGATTTGTAATAAAATCACAAATATAACAAGAAAATAAACTCATTCGCTTATTTTTAACCAATGCATAACGATACAAAATCTAATAAACTATGGGGTATATTTTGGTGTTGAAGAAGTGGGACATATTAAGCATGGGATATTTTGGTTAAGTGGTTAGTATTGAACTGATAACGTGATGTATGTCATGCCTCTCATTTCGATCACGAAAAGTGAGTGATATATATATAATATAGGCATCTTTTTCTTTGAAATTATATGTGTTCTTCTAGAATACGTAAACGATCAGAAAACCAAAACCAAAACCAAAACTTATATATTGAAAAAGTTATGTTTGGCTTTCAATTAAGACAAAAGTCGGTTTTGAAACCAAACCAACCCTTTTATATCTACTCAAAGTGTATCCAATATATTTCACTACTTTGAAATCTTGAAATACTGCAGACATGTGAATGAATTGCTATTTTGATGTCTAAAAACCTAATTTTCTTGATTTTTAAGGATAAGTAGACCAACTTGATTTATTTCGTATGATTAAGAAACCAAACTTCTTATTTGGTTTCCGTCCAAAACCCACACCCTCCAAGTCGATCGAGGTGTGTGTACGAAAAAGAAAGAACTGTGTGTGATACGCAGTAGTCGAGCGAGTGTGCAGAGAAAGACAACATATCATGGGGATGGAATGAGTAGGGTTGGGCACAAGTAGCACCACAACCAAAAGTGGTGGATTAGGTTCCTCTACTTTTGGTTTTGCACCACACAAGCATAAGCAATCTTTGGCATCATTTGGCCTAACCAATCTTATAAGTCTTAATATCTACAATTATCAGAAATTACCTTGTGATAAATTATAAGTCGTAATTACCTGCGGCTTAAGACATAAAGTTATTTAACAGACTGATGTTTATTGATAAATTATGATCGAGTCGTATGTGTAGAGATTCATATAAGATACATAATCCATATATGAGTACAGATTCGAAAACTTGCAATGAATGTCAAAAGTATTCTTTTAGTGCGGGCATTATATATGTGGTCCTTTGACTTAAGATCCTGCATTTTGTTATATGTGAATGATGTGCTTTAACGCCAGATCCAATTGCTTCACAAGTGGACGGCTCAAATAATAGTTTGACACAAGAAACAAGAGTTTTAGCAACAACTTTTTCCATCGCTAAAAGTCCATTTATCGTCATAAACAGCTTATAGCGATGGATTGGTGATTTGCAGGATCGTTAATTTTTGTCATTTGACGACAATGGTGCATTAATAGACGTTGTTGTTGGTATTTTAATTTTTCTGAAAAAAACAACCATTTATTGTGGAAACCAAAAGACTGGTATTTTTTTTCATCCCTTTATTAATCGAATTCATAAATTACTTACTGAAATTTACTGATAGAAACTTTTTAGATTTCTTTCATATTATATTTCTAGTCGAATTAATTTCATCTACCATAACACAGTTCTTGTGAAAGTGAGTTTCTATATGTAAATATTTTATTACTACAAAAAAATTTAAATACAAATAAATTATTAAAAAGACATGGATAAAATAAATGACGTTATTTCATTTTCTTAATATGGTTTAATTTTTAAGGGGAGTTCAGAAAACGGGAAGGTGGCGATTTTTGCAGGCCGAGCATTGTTTTTCTAGTTGGACCCGGCCGGCCCGATTACATACCAGCTCATTCACGGTTGGTCCGGTTCTCCTACCTGGGGAGTGGGGAGCACCACCTTCCGTATCTAATACAACGAGAGTTTGGTTAAAAGATATACTTTTAATAAAATAATTTTATTAAAATATGATATTTATGATTAATTTGTATGTAATAACTATAGAAAATTTTGTTAATTATATGTAATAATCATAGATATTTTTGTTAATAATATGTGATATTTGATGAAAATTTTATTTTTTTTAAATCAAAGTGTAAATAGAAAAAAAAATTATATAAAAATTTATAAAATAATTATGAATTTATTAAACAAAGAAATAAATAAATCTAAAAGACATGTTTAAATTTTTGAAGATTTATCCAATTCAAAATACTAATTTCTAAAAAAAATTATGTTATTTTTTAATCAATGGATTATGTGGCTCATATTTTTTCTCGCAATCTTGTAAATTAGTTAGCTTTTCGCATGATCATCCCTATATACATATAAGTTTTATAAAACAATTTATCATGACACTTAAGCCTTGTTTTTTTTTTCTTTCAAAAGTTACTATCAACCTCTTGCATTTGATTCATTAAGAGATGTGGTCATTCAGATTGTTTGATTTTTTTAATTTTTCAGAGGCACTTATATTTTATAGTCCTCTTATCTGGTAATGGTAAGAGGTAAATCAACGTCTTACTTGCCTCTTATTGTTTTCTAGACACTCAACAACGACGTTTCTCAATTGATTAACCTTAATCGATCATTTTTCTCGATGGATCCTCACTCTTGTAATTTATATATTTTAATGAGATGTAAATGTGTTGAAACCCGCCAATGATGTATTTTCATTTAAATGAATGTTAATTATATACTTAGATGTAAATTTCGTAATGATGATGAATAAATATGTGAAATTCTACAAATTTATCTATAAGTTCAACATTATAATTTTCTAATGAGTAAAATAGAGTTAAACAAATTCAAACATTTATCGGTTCACAAAAACAAACAATTTTATTGAATCGATCAACTTTCAGACTTAAACACCGCCTCTTATCAATCGAAAGTGAAATAAAATTTTAGCACATTTTAAAAAACAAATAGTACCTTAGACACTTCGATGTCATATACACTCGTTTTTGTTGTAGTGTGAAAAACAAACGCTACACAAGTTTCTTATATTTATTTAATCTTTACTCGCCGGGTCTATTAATACATCCGTATATATGTCATTTTTATTAAATGATTTTACAAGTCTCCTTTAAATTCTCTTGGACCCGGTATATATATGAATGAGTCCTCATCTTCATAAACAATTCTAATCTTCAGCCTTCATCAGATAAGCGGTAAGGTAGAGCATGATGCAACTTCAATTCAAGACCTTTATGATGTCTTATTTAAAGGGAAACCAGACCACTTAAATATATAAGTTGATCATGAAATTAAACCTATGTACGTTACCTTTATGCAGAGTCACACCAAGAAATTTTTTAAGTGCTGACACAATTTAACTATAAAAAATATATATCTAAAGAGAAGTGTCATTATATATCGGTACGGATTTGTTGATTGGTTCATTGTCCCTCTATAGAAGAGGCCCAATGTTAAAATCCTAACTACGTATCTTTTTAGAAACAACACAAGAGGTATATAAAAAATCACCAAAATCTAAGCTAAAAGTTAACAAATTTGGCACCCGTGAGATTCAAACCCATGCCTTTTGTAGAAAGGTAGAAGCATTAACCATCTCCGCTAACAAAGTCTTGTGTTTAAATTTCAGTTTCAAAAACTATATAACACCCAAGAAAATAATACAGTGACAACCTTTAGAAACGTACTTTTTTCCTTACGACGAAAACATGAGGTTGATCCATCTTATCAAACAATGTAGGTCTACCCTTGCCTCAATGTATGTATTCTTGAAAAGAAGAAGATTGTATGCATATATGGAGCCACCAAAATTCTCTCAAGAATTTCACTATATATATATATGTCCTAATCGAATAACATTTCAAATATATATATATATATATATATATATATATGTATATATATATCATGGCCATGAGTCTGGATGAGTGCAAGAAGGTTTTTTGAAATTTCTGTCTCAAGCGAATTAATAAGAGTTAAAAAGTCGAGTGAATGTTGGTATTCATTCATGGTGAATTGACGGGCCCTTATTAATTTTAGAGATCACTAATTATGGATGCCTTTGTTGTGGAATCATGGGTAGGGGCCTTATACTCTTTTAATTAGTAGGGGTCGTACGTACCTGATGTTCAATAATATATATATATACATATATATACACACACACACACACACACACACACACACACACACACACACATATATATATATATATATATATATATATATATAGGCATTCCACCTTTTTGCTGATTAATGCAAAGTTTAATTTGCTCATTCATGGTTTTTGATTGATCTTAATTAAACAAGGCAAAGAATAAAGGGTAATTAAAGCCTTGCTGCTCATTTCCCAGACGCATCAAGAATATGAATATATGCTCGATTGATCTTAGTTATGGTACCACAACTCTAACAACTCCTCATACAAGTAATGTATATCCTTACAAGTGTGTGTATGTATATATATATATATATATATATATGGAAGTTGCTTGCTTAATTATATAGGGTTTCCAAATTGATAACAGTTCAAGAGACCAACAATGAAAACAAGGATATAATGCATCAACATAGGGGTCAGTTCACCAAATACTTACCTGATAAGCGCTACACGTATCACTTAATTAGTTTACCAGCTTAGCAAAACAAGGACCAACATTTTTATCTATTTACCCATCATTTTTATGACTGAAAATGTCACGTACGAAAAGGTACTCTTGCAGTGTTGCTTGTAAATGCTTACGGATAAGCGTTCAGAAAACCACTCCTTGATTTGAATACGTAAAAAATCATAAGTAACATCTATCTCTTCCATCATCAAATTACATAGCTTGAAAGAAGACTGTGAATCGAACCAATATGCTCGATCAACGTTACAACCGAGAAAACCTAGATAGTTTTGGGGACAAATTTTCTTATAGAACTTATAATGATCTCATATTTTGTCTTGGAACTAAAAGAAACGAATAGAAGGATCATTAATTATGTATAAATAAACAAAATTAAATGAAAAATCAGAGAAATATTTGATAAATAAATATGGCACATTTCACTTCTTGTGCTTCATTCTAAAATATATCTTTTATTTTTACAAATGAATTTCATATGCTTCCGATCGATCATATGTTATATAAAATGTGTGGATAATATAAATATATAAATCAAATACTATGACCACGCGTTTTTCTGGAGGAAGACGAAGAAACCCTAACAGTAAAGGATCGGAAAAAAGTATCTACCTCTTGGCGCCTTGTATTTTCAAAGAATTCCACGGTTGTTCCGTCGTCCGACAACCTCCTCCTTCTCTTCTGCAAGAGTTTTATCGGCGGTGGTGGTGGAGAGCACGGTGGTTGGATCTTGTGATCATCGGAGGTGGGAGTTTGACAATCGTAATCACCCTTGTCTGCTACCACCAGCTGGTTGTTGTTTGACTTTGATGACTCATCATCGTCATCCTTCCTGTCATCACCAAGTTTTGTGATGGATTTTCGGCTGAAATCTTTCTTAGACATGGCTGAGCTCAGTTAGCTGTGTGTGTGTGTGTGAGAGAGAGAGAGAGAGAGAGAGAGAGAGAGAGGTTAATTGCTTGACAATCTTGTTTGTATCATTTAGATTGTGGACTTCTTGTTATATATTGTGGTCTTCGTTTAAATGCTATTTCGATAAATGAATCGGTTCACTCGAATTTTATGATAAAACCAAAGTTGTAGAATTAATTAATTTGTGCATAAAATATAATAAATATAATAACAATTAAAATTATATAAAAAAGCACATGTCAAAGCGTCCTTTGAAAGCTATAAGATTTCAAGCCTTACCCACGACATCGTTTGCAATTTCGTTTTTCTCCGTTGGCAAGTGTTAACTATATATATATATATATATATATATATATATATATATATATATATATATATANAGTTTGTTTCAAATACAACCCATCGCATTTGTATAACTAATACAACCCAATAAATTGAGATATTTATGGACATGATGAGAGTTCATTTATTATGATTTGAATATTTATGGAAGATGAATATGGTTCATTAATTATAATCAATACTTTATATTAGAAAACAATCAAAACTTCTATAAAATCACATATTAATCAAATGAAATGAACGATTGAGATTGAGTTGTATTGGTTGCACAAATGTCAATGGTTGTATAATAACCAACCTCTCTCTCTCTCTCTCTCTCTATATATATATGGTATATTTCAAATGCAACCATGTCCATTTGCACAACCAATGCAACTCAATTAATTGAAATATTTATAAAAATGATGGAGGTTCATTTATATATGGGTTGGGTTCACGTGAGACCAATGGTTTTTTGTTAGATCCGTAAGACCAATTTATGTTCATTGATCAACTTTATAAGCTAATGATCTAATGGTCTAAAGTTGTACCGTGATAATTTTGTGATTATTGAGAAGTCTCGTGGCGTTTATAAATGTTCAGATTATCATATTGTAGATTTAATCTAAGGGTTGATAATTGGTCTTACGAGTCTTATGAAAAAACTATGGTCTCACATGATCTCAACTCTTTCTCTCTCTCTCTCTCTCTCTCTCTCTCTATATATATATATATATATATATATATATTATTTGAGACCCATATATATTTGCCATTACTTCTTAGTTGTAATACAAAGAGGAAGTTCCGTTAAAACCTAAAATTGAATTGGAATACGGAAACCGTCAATATCGAGTTACGTGTTCCTATTTAGGAATCGTATTCATAAAATTAACATATTCATGATTGATAACACATTTATATTTATAATGAATAACATGTAGTATTGTAATTGATCCCCTAGTTGCTAAGGAAAACCTACCCCGATATTTATTGTTTAATGTTTAATTAAGTAAATATTCCTACGATTGAAAAGGATAATGTTTTCTCTTATGGCTATCTCAATCTGAATTAGCCAGACTAACATGGTATCAAAGCTTGAGGTAATATTTTGGTGTTATTACCATATAAAAACGAATATGCAATCAAATCATGTTTCATTACAGGGATTGTATAACACAAGTTAGATTTCAATGTCGAAGGTAATAATCGGCCTCACCAAGTTATTTACTAGTATCAGCATAAGATCCTTAAAACGCATCTTGTGATCTATTTGATTCATGAATTTATGTACAATTAACACACCAACTTGAACTAGTCAACCAGGTTTGTATATGCCTAATTTGCACCACAATTCCAGTTTCCACACCTTCATCACATACAATTCATGGTAGTATAGTATGAACCTATAAATAACGTGAACATGTATCACAAATGTACATCTTAGTTGCATAAATGAAGCATCATGTGAGAATAAGAGTTAAGATGAGAAGCGTAAGAAGAGATCTGAACCCTTGATCACTTTTAATTTCACCCACCCCATGAATTATGTTTCTCACGGAAATTGATCTGGTTTATTTTGGAGCATCTCATTAGTGTTGATCTTCAATTATGATTGATCCAAATGTGGAGATATCTTCTTACCATTTTCATCATAACTTCCATTCTCATCGAAACTCATCCCTAGTTGCATAATCGTAGACGAAACTTCACATGTCATTTCAGATATATTATCCACAGATATTTCTTTCCTAGCTAGTTCTATAATAATTAATTCCCAAACCCTCGTATTATGGCTGTGTTGGCGTGCCAAAACAGTCGACATATCTCCTAACATAATGTTCAATAACTTTTACAAACAATTTTACAAGATTCCATTTAATTGTCCATACGTTTATTTTTATCTCACATTTTGTAACAGAGTACACAAGTTTACTTAAATGTCCCACAATATGAATTAAAGACAATATTTCCTACTCAAAATCTGATTTGATCCCCGAGGTTTAGTGAAAAGTCTAGATATAAGACCTAAACTTTGACAAGTCTATAAAGTATCTTTATGGTTTTCATTTTTCTAAGAAAATGGTCCCTCGTCATTAACTTCGTTTGCTTTCACTGTTAGAAGGATAAGTATTTTCGTCTATTTCATTTTTTTTGTCTTTTTCTATTTTTGTAATAAACCTCAAACTATAGTGATTAACTTTATAATTAACACACACACACACACACACACACACACATATAAAATCTAAAGCCTTGCTTCTTCTGGTCGGCTCGTATTAGCCTGTGCTTTGAACTCATACGGTTCCGACGTGCCCAGAGGCCAGAGGCGAATCCGTTCACAGTTCGAAGGACCAACACCATTCGAAAGTGGGCGGCCCACCCCGCTTAGAACAGTTATGTTTGACTGGGCTTACACACATTCGCTCACTTACACTGTCTCGGTCTGAGAGTGCAGCTCTATCATATTTGTCCTAGGTACCAATGCTAGGTTAGAATCCAATATTGAACTCTTAAAGGGAGGAGACGGAATCCGAATCTATTTCCTAATTGGACAGTGAAAAGATGATCATTGATGATGGGAGTTCGGATAACATAGCGCCCACGAAGATGGTAAACAACCTAGCTTCACTACAGAACTATGATCTACAAATCACTATCTTAAAATACCATATATAAGAGAAAAAGTGGCTCGTCCGATTAGCAAGCAGTACTCAAGGAACAGGCTTAGTCAGAGATTCAATTTTCTTCGAAATAAAAAAAAAGATTCTAGGAGAGGGYTCGTAATGATCTTTGAGAAGATCACAAGGTGTTGAAGTAGCAAGATAGGAGGGACTTACACTAACAATATATTATTATATATTATTTATACATATAATATACACAATRTATTATTATAAATTATTTATACATATAATATACACAATRYATTATTATARATTATTTATACATATAATATACACAATACATTATTATAGATTATTTATACATATAATATACACAATACATTATTATAGATTATTTATACATAAAAAAATTTAACCAAATTGTTAAAAGTTACATAGATAATTTATTCCCAAAATATGTTTAATTCATTAAACATTAAAAATAAAAAAAATTCAATGGCTTTATTTGTTTAAAAAATTTCAAACTTAATAATTTAAAATAAGAAAATTTAGTTGTTTTTTCCTAAATTTCTCCTTCATAGTTTGAAAAAACAGAACGGCAAGATTACAATTTTTTTACAACGATAAAATTTGAAGATAAATCTTTTAAACATAAACTTAAAAAACAAATGGAATAAGATTATTTATGATCGAAATTAATTATATATGATCGAATATTTAGTTACGTAATCATTTTGGAAAATAATCAAAGGTTACAACCATTACAAACAATTTAAAGTGTCATTTATTTTTATCTAACGGTTGAGTAATATTTGTTTTTAATTTATTAAAAAACTAAGAAACGGGTAGTTTTAAAATATTTTAAATTTAAATTTGATTAAATAATTAGATTTTTATATTTTTGGTTATGATCTCCATGCATGTTTTTCTCACCCAATTTCTCAATCACTCTCTCCCTCTCCTGCTCCACTTCAGCCCGTTAACTCTCTCCAACAATTCTTCTGCAGCTATCATCGCTACCACCTTCAATCAACCAACTCTGACGGCCACCTCACATGTTGGTTCTCCGGCCATCGTAAAACTCACCTCCGGCCATCTTTAAGAGAAGGCTCTCTTGCATCCGGTTCTCTTCCCAAGTCCAAAACTCCCCCAAATCTCACACTCCGTTCCCTTGCATTTTCTTCCCCCTAAATATGTCGTTGCAGGACCAATTTATCCACACTCATGAATACAAAGTTTTTCAATTTCGATCATCAACTGACTTATTTGAGCCCAAAACCATAGATGTGGTGGATCTGGGTCCAACTTTCCGAGGTCATTACGGTAACTTCACATCCAACTCTCCGTTTCCCGATCTGTCACTCCAGGTGAAAGGATTTAAATTGTTGAAGATGAAGGTTCAAAACATATATTAAAAAGAAAATCATAAATTTCATATGGTTTCATATACGGAAGAAAAAAAAGATGAATTGTTGCATATGGATCATTTTTTTTATATGTAGATCATTTTGTATATGGTTTCATATATGGAAAAGTAATGAAGTTTCTCATATATGGATATTTTTAAATTAGATATGAAAAAGATTTATCTTCAAATTTTAATAAGTTTGTGTTCTAAAAGATTTATTTTTAAATTTACCGTCGTAAAAAAAATCATAATTATGTGCAATTCTGTTTTTGAATTATGAGAAGATAATTAAAAAAAAGAATAAATTTTCCTATTTTAAATGATTAAATTTGAACATTTTTAAACAAATAAAACCATTGAATTTTTCCATTTAAAAGTTTAATACCTTAAAGTTCAAGTTTCACTTTCAGACTTTTCACTAAACTTCAGGGAACAAAATTATAGTTTAATCTAAGATGAATAAAATACCCAAACAAGAAATTTGTAGCCAAAAAGATAATATACTTGTTTATTGTAATTCTAATATACAGCTGGTATTAAATATGTTTTGGCATAATAATTAATTAGTGTTCGATACCGTGCATTGTACGGTCATCAAAACTCAATTTAAGAAAATA